AGTGCGATAATATATTAATGCTATATATGTAAATGTCTAATTACACGTTCGATTTTTTTATCTATTTACATCTATTTAATATTTAAGATTTAATTAAATATTAATTACTAGTGTTTAATTACATTTAAATACATTCGCATTCATACATATTCGAATCTATCCCGTATCGGGGAGGCGGTATAGATTCACTTCATCATTGCATAATTAATCTGCGGAATAAATCATCTGCGACTTGATAAATATCTCGTTACGCACAACCTCCCGCTATTTTCCACAAGATTTCCAGTAGACTAAACGCACTAGAGAGAGGAAAGGATGCGTGCGCGTCAAAGCCGGCGCGCTTTACGCGTACGTGGATTCAAATTAATTTCCCGTCGTGCACCGTCGAGGCACATTCCAGCAGAGCGCGTGGACACGCGGCTCGGGGCTCGAGTGTCAAGCGAGTGCCCCGTAGCCGTTTAGAGCGAATTCCCCGCCAAATTGGATCTCTCGGATTTCATAAACCCGGTTGAAAAGCGCGCGCGCGCGAGAGTTCGGCCGTTCTTTCTTTCGCTTTTTCATCGAGGACGGAAGAGAGAACGGCATCATCCTGACTGACCGCGTCGGGATCCGAAGGAATAAAAATCCTCCGGTTCTCAACGATGAAGCGACATGATCGGGCATTGTCCGATTGTGACCATTCAGGGACACGAATTTTTCATTGATTCTCTGAGCGAATAGCGGTCCACGTAGATGGCACACGTCCATCTCTCTCTGTTTCAATCCCGGAATTCCGTTAGACATAATTCGGGCCAAAAGTCAGCCGGAGATTAAAATTCGACGGCACGATGAAAAAAGAAAATAAAAGAGAAATAAACAAAAAGAAGCTGCGAATAATAGATTTAATATCTGCGAAATGTGTGCAAATATATATACGAATACATGAGCGCGAATCGCGCGGAACGATCCGCATTTGCGAGACAATTTCGACGCATGCAATAATTACGCTGCGATTACGCGACTAGCAACGGTGCGCTTAATCGGATTCGTATATACAGCTCGATATCGTCGAGCGCGTTGCATTACGCGACAATTACATCGTTGTAACGTTAACTAATAAATTGCCAGAGAGCTTTGATAATTCGAACGAGTGTAACAATCTTCTGCAACGCGAAGCTCTTGCCAATACTCATTTTCGTTGCTCGTTTGTTTGCATAAGCCCTACAGCCCGATAACTTCGTCATTTATGCAGGTCTATGCTAATCTCCGGATTAAAAGGTATAAAGAAGGGCTTCCAGCAAGTATCGATTCTTCGCCGACGCGTGCAAAATTATACGCGACGTTGGACGTTGAGGAAATAAGGTCTGCTTCCGCGAGGAAGAACCTTGGGGATGAAGAAAGGATATAACGAGTGACTGTCGAGAAGGGAGCAGCGATAAAAAAGAAGGAGAGAGAGCTGTAAGAAGACGACCGCGATTGCACAAAGGAATTCCGCGGTAATCCATTGACGAAAGCCGTGGTACGTTGTCTGGCGAACGGTTTTCAGGGACCGCGCAAAAATTGCGTTCAGACAGTAGTCGTAATAGATTCGGTCGAACTAGATTTAATTCCCTCTTTCGAGGTTCTTCCCTATCTTTTTTTGCGACATTTTCTTCTCCACCAATAATTCAAGTTCTTATTAAAATTTTATTTTATATATGTAAATCAAACCTCGAATCTCCATTCAATATAGAAATAAGTAGCAATGCCGATTGATGATTAGTGATAATTATCAAATGATCATATAAATGTTAAATAATGTACGTTTCCTGCAAAGCTCACTTGTAAAAATGCATTGGACAATAATGTTATATTCTGAAAATTAAAAATCTTTTCGTGTGATAAAAAAAGTAATAAAGAACCAATTCCACTTTATTAAAATGCTTATATGGATAATTGAAGTTCCACAAATTTTCTGCAGACTGCACTCGATAAAATTCATTGAACAACTATTGCGACATAGAGCAAAGTGAGAATAATTAAAATGAGATAAAAAATTTCTTTAACTCGGTAGAGTGTCGCGCAGTGATAAAAAAGCAATCTCTTCGAGAATTAACCGGTCAGCGGCTGACAGAGGTTTCCAGGACCTAATCTTTAATTAAACTTATCTAGATTCCAATATCCGGAATATTAAAAGTTTGGTAGAAGTTGCGGTCGACCGAGTGATGTGTGATTAAATATGAAGTTGATCTCGATAGACTTGGCGCAGCTGAATTCATTTTCTCTTCGTCGTCTTCATATCGACGGGCTGTCTTCACCGGGTAATCGACAACGACGCGGAACACAGACAAAAAGAGAGAGGAGAGAGAGAAAAAGGAAAACGACTGAGGCGTAAGAAGGAGCAAAGTTCGCGATAAAGATTTTACGACATTTCGAGAAGCCCCCTATTAAAGGACATCCTCGAGTGGCATTGGACGCTTGCTTGGTCCTCTCTATCCATCGGTGATTCGGGCTTTAACTCTCGTCTCTACGAAGGTACATCCGGCTGCACGACCGAACATTACAGTCGATTGCACTCGACTGAAATTTTATCGAACCATCGGAAGTTATCCATTTCGTGTTCGCGTAATAATTGTCGCACATGCAATCATAATATAAAAGTTAATTGAATCTCAGATTCAAGCTATTCTATAAAAATCTCGATTTTATATGTCTCAATAGGGAAGTTAATTTATTCAAAAATTATAGTAAAAGTAATTAGTGATATTGCACAAATTATCAAGTATATAATGGATGTTAACTAAATAAATATTCCCCGCTGGATAAATATTAATCTAACTTTATCAATTTAAAACAAAAATAAATATAATAATTTCAGTTAAAACTTCTTTTTCCTTTTCGTCAGTTATTTATAAAGCTCTCAAAATAAATTAAAATTTCCTCTTTCACAAACTATCTCATCAAATAAATCATAGAGTAATGTATAAAATTTTTCAGAGTTTTTCCATGAAATTACTTATGCAATGTTTATGAAATAGAATTTTGCAATTTGCAATGCCTTTAAAAAAACGTCAAACCCTTGAATAAAATAAATTTATATTTCAATGAATACGGAGTCGCTTTGTACTTCTATCGACAACAATTTTTTGGATCGATGATACGCAGACATGAATTATTATTTAATAACGCGACAGAGACGCCGAATATTTCTCGCAAGATGAGCCAATAGGCCGTAAAAAATCGAGCGCAGCGTACCAGGATGCAGCATCGATGATTATCGACAACCGGCGATAATAAATCGCCGCCGTGTTTTTCCGCGAATGTGTTGCGCGATGCAAGATCACGCCGATCCGGGAGCGTATCATCAATTATTTCCTGCCGGACGCGCGCGTCGAGAAGGCTGGCCAGAGTGCAATTGAGGGGAGATCTCGGCCGCGAAATGAGAGAGCGCGACGAAGGAAAAGGACGGGACTGCTGACACGAAACGACGGGAAACGCGAGATAAATCGAGCAAATCGAGAGAAATTCGCGCGCTTCGTTGCTGGCCCGTATCTTCGCGGTCCGACCATCGCATCGTCCAAGTCACTTAATTCGGGCACAAATGGCAAGAAAAAAACCGCCGACTAACGAGAGCATCAACGACCGATCGAATCGACCGATTAGTTCCGAGATTCCCGTGGGATTTGTCTGCGTTTCTCGCGGTCGCATCGAACCCGACTTAGAGACGGTCGCGTTTTAATTGGATCATTCGGAAAACAAAGTGTAAGTCATGATTCCATATGATGGAAAAAAATAATATGTAAATTCATACTAATTATTCTTGCTTGTAATTGCAAAAGACAAGCAATATAAATAAGTAGACAATACATATATGTATATAAGAACTTTTTATGCTCGATAATTGCGTTTATATACAATTTCGTTCGATATTTTCATAATTTATGCAGCATCATTATTTTATGATGCACATCATTATGTATGGTTGAGAAATAATTATTATTCTATGTGTATATATATGTGTGCCCAAAGTAATTATATTTTAACACGTAAATAACAATAAGTAATTATTGCGACGAGCAACACAAAAATGCAAATAATTGATTGACTTATTTCAAAATTTATTGTTTATAGTGCTTTACGTACTCTGTTTGTGTTGGTAAATAAAATAAATAATTCTCATATAATTAAAATCAACCTGGATACATAATAGTTTTAGAAAGCCAATACGTGATCATGTATGTAGTTTTCATATTGCGTTATAATGCCATTGGCGCAATATCCGCTAATTGTTCATGGTAATTATAGCAATTTACAAGGCGTCATATTTAATTATGTATTATTATATCATAGGATTAATAAATTGACATCGACGAGTAGAACTTTAATAATGTCGCGTTTCAATTTTCATAAATACACTCTAAATTTAAGAATAACAAAATACTATAGGTATTCATTCTATTGTACGACAAATTACTGTTTGGTATTTTTAGAAATTTCTAAAAAAAGAAGTTAATTCATACCGTTACATATCTAAAATTAAACTGAACATATATAGAGCAATGTGATTAAATTTGATTACCGTAAAACGATTAGACCAAATGAGTTTAATCTCCTGCGCTTTGCTTATACCGTCGTATAATCGAAGGAGTATAGAGTTTCCCGAAATATTGCGACTTAAAGAGATAAGAAAGCTCCGACGGAGTAAATGAAATTTGTCGCGAGCACGGCAAAGCTCGGTGCGGAAACTTTAATCGCGGATCATAGAATTCAGCCACGATATTGCCATTCGTCACGAAAGCAACATGAGCAAAGTAGTTCTCTCTCTCTCCCCTTTCTCGCGGCGTTATCTTCGGTGCAGTTTCGCGGGGCATAAAGGATGCGACCGTAAATCTCAACGGGAGCTCATTTCGCTGGCGCAACACAATAGTTCAGCGATGCCGTTGGCCAGAAGTGTGCTCAAAAGGGAGCACGGCCATTTTATTGTGATACGATTTACGATTGCTCGGACCGGCTGCTGAGACGAATCTTTGGAATTCACTTACATGGGCTCCGGGTATATGCGGACGAAGATTCGCGAATTTCTCTTGTCACAAAATTTCGCACTTCTCTTTCTCTTACCTGCAACGAGAAAAATGACAACATTAGGAAAAAAATTGAATCATTATGCTAAAAATGAAAAACTTGTTAATTAGCTTGTTAGTTCGCATATCGTTTATCTATGAATGAAATATCTGTCAACGTATATATTTCAGTAATTTTCAAATAATGAAAAATTTATAATATAATTATATTTTTTCGAACTATATTTTTAGATAATATATGAATATAAAAGGATTTTGAAGAAAATAAAAAAAGATATCGGAAAGTCCGTAGATATTGAGAGAGAATTCGGAGGACACTTTTCCGATACATTTCCATAGTATAATATTTTTACTCTTACAAAACTAATATTAAATTATAAGCAAAAAATTTAAGATAATCAAGTTTCGAGAAAATATCGTATATTTTGCAGAAAATACGAAAATAACTATATATTCCGCTAATTACTGTCATATAATATCAAATGTTAGTCATATGCAAATAAACGTCTCATTTATTAATGTATTAACGAAAATCCTCTTTAATATTCCGCATAAATTGGGATTATACTTCCATTATGGATAAATTGAATGAAGCTTTTCGAAAATAGGCTGTCCTATATATGTAACAATAATTTAACGAATAATTAAATTTAACTCGTATTAAATTAAAAATAATGAATTGATAAGATAATAAAATTTAATAATAGATTAGTAATAAATAATATATGATACATGCTCTCTTTTGCAGCTTTTGTAATTATAACACACGAATATGTATGGTATTTACCACCAATGTAGTTGTCGTACGCGAACATGACAAACGCTAATTTTACCGGTTCAAAAATATCGGTTTATGTACTGTTTCCAAGAATATATTTAATTATACTGAGAATCTTTGGCGGATACTCGCAGCAGTAGCCCATATTTCTTCGCAACTACTATTTCGTACCGTTGTTACGGTCGCTGCTAACAACGAGTGTATTTTTTTCTTCACCGATCTCCGTAACGATGGCACGCAACGAAAATGTCTACGTAATTATGAGCGCGACACGAAGTCGGAGTGCGAGAGAAATAGGGCAAACTACAGTTAGAATGAAATAAAACTTACTGTACATTCCAAGTACTCTTTAAAATATATATTATATATATGATTATACGCAACAAGAATAAAGCAGAAAATAATAAAGTCAAATATAGAGTAATATACCTACGACTATAATCCAACTAAAAAAAAGAAAAAAAAATTAAATAAAAAAATCAGTACATGTGGAGAGAATTTTTACGAATGAATATTAAAAAAAGATAAAATTGCACAACGTAAATATGCTATTGCTCTAGAGTTAAAAGAATTAAATCATTTATACTATAAAAAATAAACAAGTATAAAAAAATTAGAAAATTACACTTTTTTCAAAATTCTAGGATCAATTTAACATTGATAGATTTATTGTACGAACTCGACTCTACATCCGTTCAAATAATTAAACGTTTCTATAGAAAGAGACAATAAAGTAGAAAGAGAGAGAGAGAAAGAGAAACTACGAGAGTTGCAATTAACTCGAAACCTCGCTCACGTTCCTGGCGATTCAGCAGTTAATCACCCAGGAAGTTATTCGGCGTTGAGGACCTATGTCACATTCATTCCCAGCCATCCCTTCCCGCCTACATACCACTACGCTGACGGACCCTTTCTCGCTCCTATCCTAGCCCCTAATGACGCTTCATTAGGATAGCATTAATAAACATCCATGTGACGCATACGCAATATGTCGATTATTATTATCGAGCCGCGCGCGTGCAAACGACTAATTAAAATACTCTCTCTCTCTCTCTCTGCTACGCCTTCTCTTCTCTCCTCTTTCTATATTTTTCTTCATATTCTCTCCGCCTTTTAATTTTCTCAGCGCGGATAATATTTTTTATCATGTTGTAATTTAATGGCTAATTAATCGATCTGTTTGTAATTTTTGAACATTGCAAATTCCAGAATTGGATTTTTCATCTTTTTTTTCTTTTTTTTAGAGATTTGACAATTTTCAGCTCGAAACATAAATATACATGTAGGAGATCCGGGGTAAAAATTTTAACATTTTTATCGATACGAGAGCACAGATGTAATATCGTAGAATGGCGTTAGCTAATAGCGGACGATAGTGCCCGTTTTCATCGTAAGCGAGAGATTTATTGTGACGGCTGGCGACGAGTTATCACCTCGCAACACGAAAGTGCGGATAATCGCACCCGACGCTGATGGAAACCTGTTCGCAGCCTTTACTTGTCCGACGATCATCCGATATGCGTTGCATCACGGAATCGTGCGAGGAATCCCGAGTAATTACGAGCTTTTTACAGACACTTTTCAGCATAATCGAACATTTTTCGATGTAATGAGATGTAACGTTTTTCATCCCACTAAACATACATATATTAGAAGTAGCTTATGAATTTACTTACTTATGCTATATGCTTGGCAAAAGTTATAATATCACATTACGTAGAATAATATATGATAAATTCAAGTTTGATTATATAAAGATTTATTTAGAAAATTAAGAAAATACTTGACTAACAGATCGCGACAAAAATATTAAGAGTTAATTACATCAAGAATATAATTATGATAAGTTATCTCCATTTATCTGAAAATTCACCAAATTTATTTAAACAGAGAAATATATGATATCTGGAAAATGTGATTGTGCTACTTTAATGTTTAATATAAGAGAAAATTACATTATTCGCACGAAAGCTGATTATCGTTTCGATTCATTCTCGAAAAGCGACATTTAGAGAAGCAAATGCCGCGAATATCTCGAAACTCCTCGAAAGTCTCGATTCTTTCGGAACGTATAAAGTTCGGAAATTGTTTCTTCAAAAAGCGAGGTTCTTTCTCTCCTCGCGAAACTCCTCGAAAAACTTGGGTCCTCGTCCGCGCGAGACTTGGTTGTTTCATGCCGACGCAGGCTCGGCATCGCTCACCTCGCGTGATCGTGCCGGAACGAGAGCGCCCTTTTCGTGAGCGCTAATGGATTAAGGCGGAAAACGCAGTTAAGCCGAAACCAATTCCTTATCTTTCATCCCGTAAGTGTACGGCCGGCCGGACGAAATGGAACTATAGATCCTTTGCGAAACATCCCTCGCGCTCCCGCCGCGGACTCATTCCTCCTTTCTTTTTTCTCCTCGTTTTTTTCTCGTTTTTCTCCTTCGCCGCGTGTTGCACCACGGTGCATTCTCGCGTTCGGAACGATTTTGTTCGCGAGCGAAATTGCAGTTTGCGCTTTCGAAGCTGCGAGGCGTGTGCGATATTGCGCCGCAACACGCGCCCACGTGTGTCGAATTTACGAACGGTTAAGCGATCCGATATCGAGAATCTAGAGACTGTCTTTGAAGGCAAAATGCGCAACTGCGAGAAAAAAATGTGGCTTTAATATAGTAATATAAAATTGTACAATAAATTTTACTGATACACTTAACGGCAGAATAACGTAGAAAATCGAGCAATGTATCACAATAAATTGCGAAGCATATTGAAATTCTTGGAGTAAAAAGCTTTCGTACGAACAATCAAGGAATGAGAAAGGATAAGAAAAATTCAAGGACTCGTAAGATTGGTTAACGATGGCGGGATAAGAAATTAGTGATTTGTCCTCGGATCGACGAGCTTTTTTTCATCCGTCCTGGTGCTTTGATCGAAGCCGGTGAATACCGCCTTTGATGTCGCGACGACGACGTCGCGACTATGGGCGACGACGTAGTTACGCGGATCGATGACGACCAAGACGTTCCGAGTTTAACGACTCACAACGACGAAAGTAATCGCGTTATTTCCGCTTCGTTAAAGGCACACTTTCTCGGGGTTACACGTATCTCCCACACGTGCACGGGATAATAAAACCGCGCAATCCGCGGTAAAGCGAAGGTCTATATCCGCGAGATGACCGAGAACGACAGACGTATTTTTTTTCCTCAAGCTGAAAAAAAAAAGAAAATATTTTCGGTATTACGACTTGCTTGTAGAAAAGCGTAACGTTGCGCAACTGATTGGTTTTGATTCCTATTATCTCCTTGTCACTTTTCTTACGTTACATAAACGTAAGTTTCATAAGCAACGTGTTCATACAAGCGTGATTGATACATATTATGCAACAGTCAGTGACGAAGAGTCTCATGGTTCTCATGGATTTTCCCTGAGCGCCTCAACGCGAGAAAAAGTTAACGCATCTTGCCGTGATCCATTTTCGTCAAGACTTTGAACTGCATATGCATCTGATCTATATATTAAAACAGGAGAGTAATATGAAAAATGGGCTCTTGACTTGACTGGATACGACGCGTATATATTCGTCTTGTAATATCCTACAACTTACTGGGTACACAACGTTCCTTATTTCTCTTGGGAATTACGAGTGTGAGGCTTGTGGTTACACATTTTGAGATATTTTTATACCTATATATACCTCAGAAAAATAGACTAAATAAATCTTCACATTATAGATAGAGGTGAGAAAAATAACTCGAAGAGTAAATGTAAAAATAATTCAATCGAAGAATTAAGAGAGATTGTGAAATCTATTTCTCGCAAACTTTTATCCAATCAGATTTTATACTATTATCTCGATGAGTTTACGAGAGAATTTACAATTGTTTTCTCGCTAATGAAAACACTATTTACATATCAATAAAAAATACTAGTCCAAAAAAAAAAAAAAGAAAAATTAACACGTTATCATAATGTTACATCTGAAAATTAAAAAGACAATTTGATTCTCTCGAAAAATATCGTTCACGTTGAAAACCTCGCGGGCAATAAAGAGCGCAGAGAGAACCACATCCTATTTGAATTCAGATACATATATTACCGCGCAACGCTCTTTCCATTTGAATTCACGACATCTAGACAATTCTCCTATTGTGATTTAAAGAACGCCGCAACTTTCGAATCGCGGCCGTTTTCTCGAACGACGTGACGCGCGCACGTTCGCGACAAGAAAAGGAGCCACTTTGAAAAACAAATTCGCGCGGACTCATCCGCTTGCA